CAGGATAGGTGGATCCCCATCCCAAGGATCAGGAATGGTGAATCCCCACCCCAGGGATCAGGATCAGTGGATCCCCATCCCAAGGATCAGGAATGGTGGATCCCCATCCCGAGGCTCAGGATCAGTGGATCCCCGTCCCAAGGATCAGGAATGGTGGATCTCTATCCCAAGGATCAGGAATGGTGGATCCCATCCCAAGGCTCAGGATCAGTGGATCTCTATCCCAAGGATCAGGATCAGTGGATCCCCACCCCAAGGATCAGGAATGGTGGATCCCCATCCCAAGGATCAGGAGTGGTGGATCCCCATCCCAAAGATCAGGATCAGTGGATCCCCGTCCCAAGGATCAGGATCGGTGGATCCCCACCCCAAGGCTCAGGATCAGTGGATCCCCATCCTGGGATCCAGGGTGCCGGGCACACACCTTCGGTGGTGAGGCTGCCGAGGAAGAGCGAGGCCGTGGCGGAGGAGCCGCGCTGCGGCCGCGGGGTCGCGGGGCTGGCCGGGGGCGCGGGGGAACGCTCGCCTTCCGCCAGATCCTCACAGCTCCCCTCGTCCCGCTGCTGGAAAAGGAAAACCTGGAGTTGCTTTTCCCGGTTTCTTAATTAAGGGAATAAAGGGGGAGGTGAAGGGGAATCCAAAGGGAATCCAGGGATGAAAAGGGAATCTAGGGGTGTTTAAGGGGGATAAATAATGGTTTACAGGTGTAGATAAAGGGAATAAAGGGATATCCCAAGGGAATAATGGGATATCCCAAGGAAATAAATATAGGGGTATCCCGAGGAAATAAATAAGGAATAACCTGAGGAAATAATGGGATATCTCAAGGACATAAATATAGGGGTATCCCAAGGAAATATAAGGAATATCCCAAGGAAATTAAGGGATATCCCAAGAAAATAAAGGAATATCCCAAGGAAATAATGGGATATCCCACGGGAATAAATATAGGGATATCCCAAGGAAATTAAGGGATATCCCAAGGAAATAAATAAGGGGATATCCAAAGGAAATAAAGGAATATCCAAAGGGCTGTCTAAAAGGAATAAAGGGATATAAGGAGATACTTAAGGGAATAAAGGGATATTTAAAGGGATATCCAAAGGGAATAAAGGAATATCTGAAGGGAACAAAGGGAAAATCCCAAGGGATATCTAAAGGGAACAAAGGGAAATAAAGGAATAAAGAAATAAAGAGAAATAAAGGGAAATCAAGGAATAACTAAAGGGAACAAAGGGAAATAAAGGAATATCTAAAGGGAACAAAGGGAAATCCCAAGGGAATAAAGAGAAATAAATAAAGGAATAACTAAAGGGAACAAAGGGATATCCCAAGGGGTATCCAAAGGGAACAAAGGGAAATAAAGGAATAAAGAAATAAAGAGAAATAAAGGGAAATCAAGGAATAACTAAAGGGAACAAAGGGAAATAAAGGAATATCTAAAGGGAACAAAGGGAAATCCCAAGGGAATAAAGAGAAATAAATAAAGGAATAACTAAAGGGAACAAAGGGATATCCCAAGGGGTATCCAAAGGGAACAAAGGGATATCCCAAGGTCTGATCCCGAGCTGACACCAGCACTCATTTCCCGAGCAGGGCCGTTGGTTTTCCTGAGGCTCAGCGCCATTCCCGGCCCACGAGGAGGGGTTGGGATTCTCCGGGCTCACCTGGCCGCAGCCGTAGCTCAGCCACTCCTCCCGGTAGCGGTCGAAGCCGCTGGAGCACCTGTGGGGAAAAGCGGGATCATCCAGGGCCAGGTGGATCCCAAAAGTCCCAAATCGCTGCTGGGTGGGAACACCTGGACAAACGGGGCTCGGAAAGGAGACAGCCAGGATTTTATCCAGAGCTGTGGGGTTTCCATGTGGCTGTGCTGGAAGAGCCCAAACATTTCCTTTCCCAGAGAGGGAAAAGGGTCAGGAGCGCTTCTCCAAGGGAAAAGGAGAGGGAAAAGCGGGATGGAGGCACGGGCTGAGCTCGAGTTTCCGTCCCTGGACTCGCTGCCAGGGCAAGGCCGCCAGATCCATGGGGTTGGTTGGGTTCATTCCAGCCACATCTGCACGGGAAAAACACCGCAGGAATTCCAAATGACATCAGGCAAACTCCAGCCGGAGAATTCCCTGCAGGAACAGCGCTTGGAGCAGCGCTCCGACCTCTGGAAAGGCTCGGGGAGGAAAAGCCACAAAAGGTTTGTGCCATTTACCCAGCAGGGAAAGGAGAAACCTCAGGAAAACTTCAACTCCTGCTGAGATCCCTGCTCAGAGCCCGGTTCCTGTCCCAGTTTTGGGCAGAAAAAGGGATTTTAGCTGTTCGGGAGAGAGCTGGGAGGATTCGGGGTTGGGATCACGAGGTTGGGATAGCGGCTCCAAGGCTGGTTGGGAAGGATCAGGGGGCTCTGCAGGACCGGCCTGGCTGGAAGCCAACAATTCCCAGTTTCTGCCAGCTGGAATTCCCATTTGGAGCCTGAACTGTCCCCAGGGACAGGAGCAAACACCAGCAACGGCAGCCGGGAGGGTGGAAAAGGGTTAAACCTCCAGAGGGCTGGGATTGGTGGGATACTGGGAAGGGATTCCTGCCTGTGAGGGCTGGGATGGAATTCCCAGAGCCCCCGGATCCCTGGGAATGTCCCAGGCCAGGCTGGACAGCGGGAGGTGTCCCTGCCATGGCAGGGGTGGCACAGGATGGGATTTAAGGTCACTTTCCAACCCAAACCACTCCGGGATTCCATCATCGGATAAAATCCCATTTTCCACGGCCTGGAGCTCGGAACAAGCAGGACAGGGAAGGGTTTGAGCCGGGCTCAGCCGGACCCGCTGCAGCCCAGGCTCGAGTTTTGTCACCAAAGCCTGGTCTGGGCTCAGCAGAACGAGAATGTCCCGTCCCCACCGAGCCAAAAACCCCTGTCCTGCCTCGGGGGGGCTCCGGGGATGAGGAGGGGGCTGGGAGGAGCCCCCAGGAGAGCGGGGTTTCCACACAGCAGGATCTGTGTTACTGGGTCCCCTCCCCTGCCACCAGCTCTCAATAAATCCTTCAGCTCAATCTCATTAAAATCCTGTCTGGAAAACCCTGCCTGAGCTGGAGGGGAGCAGGGACAGCACCACGTCCTCCACCCAGAACCAAAAAATCAGCAAATTCCTACTTTTGCTGCTCCTTTCATCCCTGCTTCACCCAGCCCCAAAAAATCAGGAAATTCCCACTTCTGCTGCTCCTTTCAGCCCCAAAAATTCAGCAAATTCCCACTTTTGCTGCTCCACTCAGCCCCCAAAAAATCAGAAAATTCCCACTTTTGCTGCTCCTTTTAGCCCCCCAAAAAATCAGAAAATTCCCACCTTTGCTGCTTCTTTCAGCCCCAAAAATTCAGCAAATTCCCACTTCTGCTGCTCCACTCAGCCCCCAAAAATCAGCAAATTCCCACTTCTGCTGCTCCTTTCATCCCTGCTCCATCCAACCCCAAAAAATCAGGAAATTCCCACTTGTGCTGCTCCCACCCCTGGTGAGCCGGACACGTCCTGCACTGAGGGGTGTCCCCAACGCTGTCACCTCCCTGCTGTCACCTCCCTGCTGTCACCTCCCTGCTGTCTCCTCCCTGCTGTCGCCTCCCTGGAGCCCTTCCATCCTCCCTGCCCGAGCCAGGACAAGTTCTCCCCATTTTTTAACACCTCACTGACAAAAATGGGATTCCTGCCTCATCTCCCAGCTCATCCCAGGACTAAAAACCCCAGGAAACGCGACCTCGGAGCGGTTGGGAACCGCAGTTGGGGGCCAACAGCAGCACCTCAGCACCCCAAAAAAATTACAAAAAAAAAACCCAACAACAACAAAAAAATGGGGAAATAATTTCAAAATAAAAAAATCAGGAGCAGAGGTGGAAAGGGAGGCTGGTGAGGTACCTCTGCAGGACGTGGCACCAGCTGCAGTTGAAGGTCAGCTCCGAGCTCACGCACATTTCGCAGCTCTGGTGCTGCAGACAGGCTGGAAAAGAGAGGAGAGGGGCTCCGTGTTGGATTAAATATAAATATAAATATAAATATAAATATAAATATAAATATAAATATAAATGTAAATATAAATATAAATATAAATATAAATATAAATATAAATATAAATATAAATATAATTATAAAAATAAAAATAAATATAAATATAAATATAAATATAAATATAAATATAAATATAAATATAAATATAAATGTAAATATAAATGTAAATATAAATATAAATATTAATATAAATATAAATGTAAATATAATTATAAATATAAAAATAAATATAAATATAATTATAAATATAAAAATAAATATAAATAATATTAACATTAATATATAATATATTAACATTCATATATAATATTAATCTATATTATATATTAATATTAATATATAACATTAACATTAATATATAATATATTAACATTAATATATAATATTAATCTATATTATATATTAATATTAATATATAACGTTAACATTAATATATAATATATTAATATTCGTATATAATATTTGTAGTAATATATTAATATGTAATATGTTTATATTAATATTAATATACAATTAATTATATTATTAGTATATTGTATATTAATATTAATATATAATATTATAATATATAATATATTATATATTATATATTATATATTATATATTATATATTATATATTATATATTATATATTATATATTATAATATATTCTATATTCTATATTCTATATTATATATTGTATATTTTATATATTATATATTTCATATATTATATATTTATATATTTTATATATTTATATATATTATATATATTATATATATAATTTCATATAATACGAAATTCATGAGCGTGTTTTCATGGTGAAACACGAAAACAAACGTTGAAGTTAGATGAAAAAAGCTAAAAGTGTGAGTGTGTAGATTAGAAAGTTTTTTTAATCACTGGGTGAAAAAGTTTCGAGAACAGGAGACAAGATGAAGGATTTAGGGTGTTGTCCCTTGTCCCTTCTTCTTTCTTCTTCATGTTCTTCTCCTGGAGGTTTTGGGGTGATTGTCAGTGATTAGACAGAAAATGCCACAGTGCAGCACAGAGGGGATGGGTCATTGGCTCATTAAGAAAAATAATATACGTGTCTATTGTTAATTGGGTAAAAAGAGGTATAAAGATAAAAGAACTGCGGATTTCGAGGCCGTTTTGTGCATCAGACACAGGGTGAGCCACAAGGCCTTGTTTGTACCGCCAGAAGGAAGAAATGTGCCAGATTGCAAAGATGAACCTTGTGCAGCCAGCCTGGAGAGAGCTGTTAAGTTCTGTGATCACCTGTTAATAAATAAACACGAGAAACAGGATTCTAACCAGCTCGGGAGTTTTCTTCTAATCAGAAGAACTGAGATAAGCAGGGCTCCCCACCAGGGAGGATCCCGAAAAAAATTCAGTCCAAAGGAGGCTGAGAAACCCAAGAATAAAAAGAAAAATACAGAAGAGCTGTAGCAGAAACAAAGAAACAGAAAAAGGACTTTTTAGGGAAAAGTTACACTCCGGACAGATGTCAACATCTGGAGGGCACGGGGGAACAGCTGGGAGCAGCTGGAGCCCTGGGAAGCGCCCAGCCCCCAGGGCTATTATTATTAATATTATTATTAATATTATTA